ACAACAGTCCAGGGGGCCCCCGATTCAATCACCGGTGCCGTTGCTCCTACTCCTTCGCGAACGATGCGTGCCGCTCAAGGCAGACGACCCAATGTTCACGACCGTAGGCCGTCGCTTAGTGTCAGCCCAAGCTCGGCTACATCGTACATTTCTAAAGCCATCCAAGATGCCAGCCTCCGTCTCTTGGGCATCAAATATCCACCAGTCCTCGGTAAAGGTGCCTCTCCACCTCAGCTGTACAACGCCTTCCCTGCGTATCCCACTCCGTCGGCTCAGACGAATCTCATCGGCGACGGAAAACAAAGCGCCCCATTCGATGAGGATGCACGCGTTGCTCAGTGCATTGAAGAAATCGCAACACGAAGCGACGTGGTCTACGGTTTCGCTGAGGTCAAGTACAAACAGCTTGTGCCTTTGGCGCCTTCAATGGACCAGGGACTGGGTGGCGTACCAGCCAACAAAGCGCCCTTCGATATTGAGGATGGTCTTACCCCAGATGCCATTGTCTCACTGTCGGAGGAAGCACTGGTATTATATGTCAAGGCGTTGTCGCTACTTGCCAAGTCCATGGATGTAGCAAGTCTGTGGTGGTCAAGGAGAGCACGTTCAGAAGCAACCACCGGCCATTCGTCCATTCGCGAAGCTGGCAATGCTCAAAATTTGACACCTCGAATCAACTCTGCCGTTCAATGGGTCCGCTCGCGTTTCAACGAGGTCTTGGAGAAGGCCGAAATGGTGCGTCTCAAACTCGTTGAGGCGCAGAACAACCTACCAGAAGAGCATCCTAGTCACCCTTCCAATCACTCGAGAGATGTGGGAGGAGTCGGCAGCTCGGGTGTAGACGGCGTCGTCATTACGCCCGGCATCAGTGCAGAGAAGCTCATGTATGATCGGGCGGTGGAGATGAGCCGCAAAGCCGCGATTGATGAGATCTCGAATGAAGACCTAGCCGGTTGCGAAATATCCTATGTAACAGCGATCTGCATGCTTGAGGCAGTACTGGATAATGACGATGATCTGCCCAAGAGACGCAGCTCGGGATCCTCCAAGGACGATCGTGGCACACCGCGAGAAGAAACGGCAGAGATCAACATGGACGATCAACAGGCTATCAAGAAATGTAAGTATTGACCAATATTGTATGAAGCAAGCCTACACGCTGACAGGAACCTAGTGATAAGCATGATCTCTGGCCGGCTCACTACAGTCAGAAGCAAGTTGCGCATGATTGCGAGCGCAACCAAAGTACAACAGCGACAACAGAACCTCGTCGGACGTCGCAGTCGCGAGGGAACTCCAAGGAGCTTACCTTCGAACGCCTCTTGAAAAGACCATGCCTGATCAACGAAACTATATCGACATGAGCGCCGCACGGCCAACCTATATCGCCTCCGTTCTTACTTCCTGACAAAGACCGGCCTCGAGAGGCAGGTTGCAGGCTGAATTTCTGTTTTGACACGATCACGACATCTTGTCCATCGATGCTTGTGTTTTTCCTGCCGGTCTCTCTTTTCACGAGCCTTGTTATAATCTTTCTGTTTTCACTCACGGTGTTTTTCTCAATTTATTTCAGTTGTGAGACCGCTTGAGATATTTGCTTTGACACGTTGTGTATTGGGCCAATGGGCGATCACTCATACACTCACAGGGCGGCGCAGCACTTGGACTCTTTTAACTGCTCTCTCTCTCTCTCCTCTCTCTCGTAACGGCGTTATATGGTTTCGGCTCATTTTAAGGGACGAATTTTCAGATTGGATCAGGTCCCAGGGCCACACATACCTTCAAGCTTTTTTTTTTAATGTTTTTATTTTCTTCCTTTCCCCCATCAGGGTTGTTTCGGCGTGGTTTGTTTGGAGCATTCGGCATAGGGTACCAGATTGACGGTTTGAATTTCATTCTGCCGGCAGCAGAATATGGGATGATTGTGGATATTGAATGACTGAGGTTTGTGACGGGCGCAATATTCCCTAGGTTTAGCACTTTCTCCTATGAAATGTTTGGTATTGCTACTGTGTGTATACATTTAGAGGCAGGAGTCCAAGGTATAGCTTTAGGACCAACTTGGTCGGATAGTGATGAATAGCACCCAAGTCTGTGGGCAGACAATGCTTTGCAGCAGAACTAGAGAAGGCACTACTCTCGAGTATAATAAAACACTCGCGATTGGTGTCATGTATAAGTTTGTCTGGTACATGGTGCTCTTTTCTGCAGCCCAATAGTGCAAAGATATTGTTTGATTGACAACCAGCTGTCAACGGTCAAGTTGCGTAGCTTAGTGATGTTCCATCAAACTTCAATACTTCATCTAACAGCATTCTAAGCGATATCATTGCTTTAAACGCCATTCGCAAAAGCCTGTCCTCCCATCTCCTTGTCAAAGTCGGCATACTTGTTGAGCCCACACACCTCAAAACACTCTCGCACACCACCCATAACCTTACCGCTCGCGTCCCGTCGCTCAGCAATCATACCAGACTCCTTCAATTCCTTGGCTGCCTCGCGGTACGCCAGAATCGCAGCCGTCATGGCGAAGCACGGCCAGATGACAATTCTGTAGCCCATCTCGCGAGCTTCATCTTTCGTCACAAGTGGCGTCAGGCCACCCTGCACCATATTCAAAAAGCACGGTGTGGGGCTCAGGTCTTGAACGCTATTGCGCATCTGCTCCTTGTTGCCCATGCCCTCGAGAAATACAACGTCGGCACCAGCCTCGGCTGCCGCACGGAGTCGACGGATGGCTTCCTCGTAGCCAAGCGACTGCAGTGCGTCGGTGCGCGCGATGATGACAATGTCGTCACCAGAGGCGGCGCGCGCGGTGACGGCGGCGCGGATACGGGCGATGTAGGTGGGAATGTCGACGAGCTCTTTGCCCATTAGGTGGCCGCAGCGCTTAGTGGTTGTCTGGTCTTCTATGTGCAGGCCTGCAATGCCGGCTTGGATGTAGCGCTCGACCTGCATTTAGGGGAATTGTCATTAATTGGTGGATTTCAATTGTGTATTTCAAGAGGTCATTGTGATTGCAGGTATCAGTTGATTGATTTCTTGCTGGGTACTTACGGTTCGAGCAACGGACAATGGACCGCCGTAGCCTGTGTCTGCGTCGGCAATCACGGGGACGTTGCGGTCCAAGCTGGCGATCATGCCTGCGTTGCGGACCATATCGTCGACGGTTGTGAGACCGAGGTCGGGTAGTCCGAGGACGGAGATTGCAGTGCCAGCACCAGTCTGTTTATGAATTGTCAGTCTTGTGCACATCCCTTGATGGCGTGAGAGAGTGAGGGAAGGATTGGCTGACCATGTATAAGTTCTCGAAGCCTTCGTCGAGACACACCCGCGCAGAGAGGCCGTCTTGCACACCCGGACACAGCACCACCTTGTCTTGCTCAGCGAGCTGAGCCCGGAGCTTGGCTGCTGCTTTGTTGACCATTTTGCCTGTATGTTCTTCAGGTGACACTTGTTGTTTAATTATGGGTTGAGGATCGTTGATGATAAATATGAAACGTTGAAAGATTGTAACGAGATACGCTGGGTATATATGATCACAACGCAATATTTTGACTGCGTATAGAGAAACAGGTCTTCAATTGATGCTTCTAGATATGTACGATACGAAACTCCCTGCTTCTGAGCAGCCCCGAATGCGGTAACTGCGTGTATAAATAGTGGGCAGCATCTACACTGCGGATATACCTTTGCCCCTCTTCAACGACCGAGGCGAAAATCAAGAGCGAACAACTCCTTTCAATCAAGAGAAAGCAGGCCGATCTTCGGAACTCTCTTCAACCCAGGCTTAGACCTTCATTGTAAAGCCATGATTTTGCGTGCATGTATCCGTTTGGGATGGGAAACGGGACCGCTCCACTTCCTCTTGCCTGGGAAGCAAAGAAAAAGAAGCAGGAAAAAAAAGGGAAAGGAGGAGGAAAATCAAAAGGAACTTTCCATCATCACTACCAGCCATCCCTCCCAGATCGCAGCCAAAACTCGTCATTGCTACGCCAACAGCCCACATGCGGGACTCGTACTGTGGCAGGGTTTATCGCTCTTGTCTCTTTTTCGCGATTAATAAGGAACGGCAACGATTCGGCTTTCGGCTTGTTGATGAGCATGAGCGCAAAGCGTAGTATAGCGGGGACTCAAATTTGACAGGGTTTGTTGAGAAGACCAAGCCCGTGTAGTCAACTTCAGTGCATCGCATTGCCTATTGTCGTCCTGGAAAGTCGTCGGCTGCTCCGGTAACTTCAAAACACGTGGCTGGAGCTGGGGTGTCCCTACCTTTTGGAAGCGCCGTACCATAGTACATAGCAGTGGCACGCTCACGCCTAAAAAAAGACTTTGCTTTGGTGAACCCGGCAATTTTCAACAAAAGAGGCTGATGACATCTGGGAAAGCAAAACCTATGAATGTAGTCAGTAACGAATCGTGAGGAAACCAGTCATTGGATATCGAAATCCGAATATCGTATATGGATCGTCAGGCTGGGAGCGCATCAAGCATCAAGGTTCAAGGTGAAGGAGATGAGCATTCGGTGAACAAAATGCTGGTACAGAAATCCCATAAATACCTACATCGTCGACCGCAGATAACTATACGTCACTAGACAGGTTGACGATCTGCTTCATACTAATCCTTCTTGCAACGGCCCTTGCTGTACGCTGAAGTCGCATTGAGACGTATTGACGGCGACGGTCTTCTCTGCAGTACAAGATGTATCAATTACCAGAAGCCCAAGGTGAATGCCGCAATCCAGTCAAAGGATCGACCAGTGAATGCTCCGCATGCCAAAGAGTACAAAATACTCACGATACTCTCAAGTATCCGACCTGCTACCCAACCAACCACCAGCCGCAACTCACCAACAACCCACCCTATCTTCATAATTGCTCTGCCCGGCCTGACATCATAACTTTTATCTCCGCAGACAATCACGCAAGCATTGGCGCAAAGAAGACCAAAAACCGGTCTCGTTCTTGCTGCACGATCGCGCAGCAAAAAGTTCAAAGTGGTTCGGCCCGGGTTCGAACCGGGGACCTTCAGTGCGCTCGTCGTAAAGGTATGAGGAGAACTGTGAGACTGACGTGATAACCAACTACACCACCGAACCGTTTTTATGGACTTCTTTATTGATGACGTCTCAAAATTTCACTGCTATTGATATCCTCCACCACAAATACATGGACAAAAGGAAGTCGTCTTCGAATCTTACGGGAATGATCGTGAATCATCCATCGTGTGGAGTAGTAGATACAATTGTGGAGGGTGCTGGCCTAGAAAGCACCGACGGAGAAGAAAACGGATACCGGCAGATTTACAAAGGTGTTGCGGGATTGCATCGACCAATCAACCTAATCACCATTTGATTCGAGCTTCAGGTACTACGTGCCAAACGAAGACAGAGACAATAAGCAACTGACGATCACTTGCCATCCAACAAAATAAGTTACAGGTATATGAGTAAGCAAAATGTTTCCAATGAAGTGCTCAGACTGAGAAAATCGGTAGATACACATATTCCGAAGGGTTGGTATAACAAGTAAATAATGCCAACAGGACAAACGCTCATCGTTCCTTATACACCACTAATCGTATACGAAGGCTCCTGATTTGTCCGACACAAACATACGAGTTCCAAACATGAATCATTACATATGCCGTGCCCAGCAAAGTCTATGCCTGGTTTTTATACAGAAGAACAACACCATGTGGTCCTTGTTCAGTAAGAGGGAAAACAAATAGTAGTACAGCAGCTCAATTTGCAACTGCAAAAGTTTGGCTTTTTGTGGTTCAAGAATATATATCATCACAATGACTTGTCCTAATGCATCTTTGTTGGACTCCCGCTGCTAAATGACGCTTTCAATGATCAAAGGGTATCTCCTCAAGAAAATAATAATCCAAATCCAAAACAAAAAAAAAAAAGTCCAGACAGACTATTTTCCATTCCCTGTATAAAGCCGCCAGGGGCGCTTGTGTATGAGGTCGATTTTTTTTAAGAGGTAGGTGCAGGTTGTACAAATTCCCAAGAGGAGTAAATAAGTAATGACGCCGGTCATGCTGATGACAAGGATGCTCTGCGAGCCAAGCAATGCGACAAGGTATTTTCAACAATCCATTCGGTAGAGCGAGGGAGAAATACTTCGCGATGTATGCCGATCATTCCTGAATCATTTAGTCGTAAAGAGAGGCTAGAAAAGTGGTGAGGTAGGGTCCAGTCCGGTCAATGTAGGGATCACGTGCTAGTACCCCAGCCCTCTTTGACTGCAGCAACAGCCAGGCCAATGACAACACCGATAATGAGAAGCCCGACTACTGACATGCAGCGGTTCAGCATGCGCCACCATCGAGCATTTTCGTATCGAAGCTCATCGACTGATTCAATGTGGCGATCGAATTCGTGAGACCGTGTGCGAGCCGTAAGGTCGCTGTAGCTTGAGTCTCTCTGCACCATTGCCAGAGGTGAAGGTTGGGGCAGAGGAAGAACAGCGGCAATCATCCAAGAAAATGGGAAGATAAAGCCGGTGATGAAAAGAACAACCTGGAGATTGCGCCTTCCAAACATGCCACTTTCTGCTGACCAAGCCACGGAGGGCGTGTCCCAAATATTGTAACGCGCGCGTACGTCACGTCGCAGGTGAGGGGACCACAGACTCGAAGTCATCCGGCGGATGCTGCGGCGGAAGCCCAAGTCTGCTTGGTCATTGTCTGCTGGCTCGGATTGAATCTCCATGCTCTCGCGCATCGACCTATGCCGGCTGTCTGGTCCCTCCCTGCCTCGTCGACGAGAACTGTAGATACCGTGTGGGAATTGGTCCGACACTGGTGACATGGAGTATTGTAGACCTGAACCGGGACGGCTACTGAATTCGGACATGCTCGATATCGATTGCGATCTGAGAAACCGACGCTCACCGCTTCCATAGTAGACCTTGGCCCACAGTGGGATTGTATTGCTAAAAGAACGCATACTAGCAGATGAGTGCAAATTTCTCTCGGAAGAATTGCTGGTGCTGTACATCTCCGACAATCTTGACCGGGACGGTCTAGGACTGATTTGCTGGAGGTCTCCCAAGCCATCGCCATGTTCGTCTTGATCTCGGATCGTGCCATGAAATCCTGGACGGAGAGTGGGGCTCGGTCTTTCGATAGATCCGGGCTGTGAATTCGATCTTGAGCGTGAAACAGCTTCCATCTCTGCAGCCAGCGATGATGAGATACTGAGCATTTGTCTACTGTGAGTGCTCCAGCCTCGGCTTCCACGTCGTTCATGGCTGCCACGGCTGCCATAGCTTCCTGGTAGTGATATCGATCCGAGAGAGCCACGCGTATCACTCGAGCTTTCGGGCTCTGTCTCAGACATGACAGTTGACAGCTGTGAACTCCATTGATGTGGTGTAGTCTGCAAGGCGATGGGAACCTCAGTGGTCGGAATCGACATTGCTGCCTGCCAATCGGCTGTTTCCTTGAGTTGTCTCTCACGTTCGCGCTGCTGGTCAAGTTGCTTTTGACGTTCAGACGGACCGGCTACTGACGATAGTGTGGCCTCGTCCTCGCCGTTGTGCGTATCCGAATCAGGCCGGACAGCCAGAAAATCTTCCGCTACCTCTTCGTTGATTACGGGAGAGACGGCTGATTTGGTCGACTTGAGAGACTTTTTGGTCGTCAATTCTTCCCTGGACTTGGACCTGGATCTGGCAGTGAAGTAACCAAACCCTTCAATCGAGGGTCTGCGTGGTCGGAGCGGCGACACAACCAAGCTTTCTTGAGAGTATTCCTCGCGTGGTCCGCGCACAACAGTTCCTCCGGAGTCGGATGTGTCCGGGCTTGTCTCGCGTGAGAGCTCGGAAGTTGGATCGCCAAATGCCTCGTAATTTGTTGCGGTAGCCGCAGTGCCAGACGAACCAGCCTTTTCCGCCGCCGCTGCCTCATCTACCCCTCTTCTCTTCTGCTCCTCCTCTTCCTCCCCCTCCACCTTCTGCTGCGGCTCGTCTTCTTCAGGTTGTGTGTATAGCGAAGGGCCAAGGGGGAGCGAAGTTGGCGAAAGAGGTGCAAAGGCACCAGATTGGGACGGTTGATTGAGGCTTTCGACAGAGCTTACAGCAGAGTTGTCATTTCCGTAGACGACGTAGTTGACCGACTCAGGAAGACTGGAAACTGCAGAAAGAAAAGACTGTGCAGGTCTGAGCAGATGAGCACCCTCTTCTTGCACGGGGGATTGTGGTACCGGCTCGAGAATAGGACTGCTCGGTCCGTATACTCTATAATTAGTGTTTTCGGAAGCGGATGAGGCTGCCGACTGGAAGGATGCAATCGAGTCCTGGGTTTGTAGTTGGTGAGGGTAAGGATTTCGCAAGGCTCGCGCGGAGGGGCCTACGGTAGGCGATTCCGCTTGCGCCTCATCAGAGCCCTCGTCGTCGCTGTGGCCGTAAACTTTGTAGTTGGCAGAATCGAAATCTGTTGAGCCAGTCCTTGCAGTGGCGAAAGAAGCTTGTGCACGAAGATGAGGATCAGCCAAACTCTCGTCCGAGCCTGCGTCGGCTTGGTCTTCTTCGGATACCTGTAGCTTAGGATCTAGTGTTGCTTCACTAATGTTCCTGTAAACCTTGTAGTTTGTGTTGTCTGAACTGGTCGAGGGAGTGCGGGACCCGTCAGGTTCCAAATGCACAGGCTGATGGTCATGGCGACTAGGAGTGTCATTCTCTGAAACGTCGGCCGACGGAGCAGGCTGTGGTGTATCAGAAGCTTGGGGGTGGGCCGGCTGTTTCCCTTTGACATCCCCATCAGGCAAATTTGGCACCCGACGAAGTCCTCCCACCATGCGACCAATCCAAGATGAATCCGACCGATCAACGATGGGAGTGACCGTGATCGTCTCTTGATAGGATGAACCAGGGGAAGACGGCACGGGGGTTGCAGGTGTTAAACTCCGATCTGGGATTGTTTCCGCTAGAGAAGAGCTCGGACGGTCATAATGACTGGATGCATACGAAGACACAGCCTCATAAGTGCTAGCTTGGGAGACACGCGGTGTGGTAGGGAAGGAATGCAGCTGTGGAGATTTCAGTCCCAGGTTGGAATAATCAGAAAGTCCGGACGATGAGCGGGGAGGAAACTGCGAAATCGACGGCGGCGGCTGAAGATCCGAATCTTGTGGGGCTTGCCGAACCAGAGAAAATGTCTTGTCCTCGTTGAGTACAGCAACAAATTTACTACGTCGGGAGCTGGGCCGTTGTTGTGTGCCCGAAGGCGAGGGCCCTCTGGACGAGAAGGAAGGCGGCTCTATATCGCTGAAATTGGATGAGAATGATTGACGCGATTGACGGCCGCGGGTCTGCGGACTGAGGGTAGCAGCAAGATGGGCGCCAGTCGCTAAAGAGGAGACGGGGTTGCTGCCAAGAGAGGCGATTGATTCGGCGGCAGTTGAGCCTTGCGACGTATGAGGTCCCTTTTCTGAAACGATACCATCGCGCCACATAGCCACAGACGAGCCTGTGCCTGAATACTGCCGCCCACTACCCCTACCGGACGCCTTGTCGGCGTACAAGTTGTCCTGTGCATTGCCATCTGTGGAAGATTCGTTTGGCACAATGCGGACGGCACTGGCAATCGGGCGCAGCAGTGATGGGTCCAGGTGGTCCGACGGCGCCGACATCCTGCGCCGGGCCCGGTGCGCCGAACGTCGAGTTCAGGATTGTGGTCGAGGGCACGGTCAAGCTTGGAACATGGCGTGGTGGGTTGATGGTCCCGTGTCAGCCTGTTGAACTGGGTGGGCTATGGTTTCGCGTCGGCCAGGATTTGAATTCGGATTCCAGATTTTCCTGGTGTGGTAATCGGTTCGCTGCGACCGGAATTCGGGACCTTGGTTGATGAGAGACTTGTTTGGAGACCCTGCTCAATTTGGCGTGTTCGGAAAGACAGTCGTCGAAGCAGAGAAGGGCATAAGACGGCTGGTGTTGATGTGAAGAGCCGTCGCGTGGACAATTAGGAATAGGCCCTGGCAAAGAGTACAAAGGGACGCCAATCGCGCAGTAGAAGACGAATAAGAATAGACAAAGCGAAATAGACTATAGAGAACAAGAGAGAGAGAGAGAGAGAGAGAGAGAGAGA